TTTTTTTTTTTTTTTTTTTTTTTTTTTTTGATAGGTAAACATTAATAAGGGTAAAAGTGTACTTTTAACCCCTAAAATGGCTATATTTCATTGTTTTACAAAACATGACCATATTTCATTTTTCTTTTAAAAAAAGTGCTATAAACCGGAGGCACTGAATTACAATCTCAACAAGTAGTGGACAAAAATAGAAAACGACCTATTAATTGTATATATTATATATATTTTTCTCCCTAAATCAACTTCAATTACATAACAAACGTACATAATACATAATATACATTGGAAACATTACAAGTATTCATTTTCGAACACAATTTCCTTTTTCCTAGTCCCTTAGGTATAGTTCACGTATAACTTTTATTCTATAGTAAAAGGAAAATGAATACTTTCCTACGTAAACAACATAACAACCTTTCCTTTCCTATTACTAACCAAAAATCTTGCACGCTAAACCTCAATCTCGCACAAGTTAATTACATTCCTTCCTTCCCAAGGCAACTCCTAATATACAAACTCCCCACTCTATATATATATATATATACCCTCTAAATTAATCTCACAATATTTCACACAACTAATCTTTTCTTTCCACCAAAAACCATCACATATATATAATAAATAAAACACAACATTATTCTAATAACGGACAAATGGCGGTCAACGATGCCTACCACGAGTACATGGATGACGTCAACAATAGCGAGGGCTTCTACGTAACTCCCACACGAGACGGTTCGGTTATTTTCGGATCCATCCGCCCGATGCTCGGAAAATTCTCCGGCGACGAAGTCCATCGGAAGGCGGAGGCTGCCGCCAGGCACGCGGTGGAGGAGCACAACCGGAAAAGTCTCGGGAGTCTCGAGTTTTTGAAGATTGTGAACTTCAATGTGGAGCCCACGGCCGGAGCCATGTACTACATGACGGTGGCTGCCGGAGAAGATTCCGGCGAGGCGCGGCTCTATGAGGTCAAGGTTTGGGAGAAGATCAATTCGGGCTTTCGGGTCGAGATTTTCCGGCCCGCGCCTTATTCGATGAAATCCTCGGGTAATTTATTAGTGTAACGTTTTTTGTTTTTTTTTTTAATTATGAAATTGCTTGCAGATGAGGTTCAATTTTTAATTTATTATATATATATATATATATTTATGAAATTTCTCGCACGAGTTTGATGAGTTTCAAGTTCTAATTTATTATTATTATATTTTTTTATTATTACATACCATTTTTTGATGAATTTGTCGACTTGTTGTAGCCGAACCCGAATTTGATGAGATTCAAGTTTTCATGAATTGTTTCGAGTATATTTTTCGAAAAGCGCGGCGGATTTTAGTGTATTTTCTTTATTTCTTTTTTTTATTTTGTTGGTAGTTTAGCTTTTAACCATTGATTTCCAACTTAGTGTACTGTTTCTGAAATGTTGATGGTAATTACTTTTAACTATTAATTTACGAATTGGTCTAATTAGTTGTTTTTTATTTGTTTTTTCGCATGTAAACATGGTCGAACCCAATTTAATGCATCTTTTTTTAATTAAAACACTATTTAATTTTGATTATTTTGCAGATAAACTTGGGAGCAACGTTTGCTGTGTCGAGGTTAATAACTTGACGATGCCCTGGATGGGTGAAGCCTATTTGTACTACAAGTGCTTCTATAGATATAAATCAAAGGTAAATTATTTTATTTTTAGTTCCCTATTTTGTCAATCCATTTTATTTCTAATTCAAAATGCAAGGCAAAATTATTACTTTGTTTTGAGTATTATAGAAAAAATGTCAATTAATTAACATATACGAATTGTTTTTTGCCATCAGATTATAGGAGTAGAGGTTAATGACGATGAAGAGAGCGGCAAAAATAAAGGGATTGTGTGGTTCAAAAATGGCGAAGAAAAAGAAGACTTTGTGAATACGTACACTGGAAAATCGATGCCGCGCACGGACGGGACATATAGTTTTGATTCCTAAACTTGTTTGGATTTCGTTTTCAGAAATTCTATAGCATCCATATGGGCACCATATGGTACTCAATTGCCCATTTAGTTTCGATAAGCTTGTTTGAGTATTGTTTTATCTCAATGTCACATATAGTTCCGATTTCTAATCTTGTTTGGATATTGTTTTATCTCAATATCACATATAATTTTGATTACAAAACTTATTTAGACTTATTTTAAAGTTTAAATTTCCGTCCATTAAAAAAAAATGATAAGAAATAAAATAATACTTTTAGATCAGCAAATTTAACATTGAGTGTCCCAATTATTGGACAAATTTATAGCAATGAGTGTTGTTACACCTTTCTCTACACTTGAGACTTCGGGAGTAGGAGTGCATAGTTGCAAATCAACCGAAATCTTCATATTCAAACTTAAGTTCGAGCCTTTATTCAGTTAAGGTAAACTTGTCTCGTTAAGTAATCAAGTCGGGCTCATTTATCAACATTAACAAATCAAGCCCGAATCTCAACAAGCCGACCTGAACTAATAATTTAAAAAAGTTATGTAAATATCCCTATTTTTGAGTCTAACGAGCAAGCACTCGAGCCTTTAACGAGTTGAGGAGATCGGCTTGTTAACAAAACAAGTCAGTAGCTGAACTCGAGTTTGGATCCTTTATTAATATTAACGAGTCAAGCTAGACAGGGGCGTAGCTACTTGAGAACCAGAGTGAGGCTAGACCCACACTCAAAAATACAAAGTGAACATAACATCTCAAAGGTCCTAGCAACTTGAGTAAAATAAGCTTATCTAAAAAACATGGTAAGAAAAGTAGATTTAGGAAGAAGAGAGAAAAAAAAAATATCTATATAATAAAAATAAGTTGAAAATATATTTCTTTTATCAATAATTCTTGAAAATTAATGGAATATAACTCTTATTTTACACTTCACTTCATTTATTTATTGATTGGTAATTTTAACTGTTAATTTTAATTTTCCTGATATTATATGCTATACAATTAATTTGTTTGTAATTAGTTTTTCTTTCTATTAGGTCAACAAATATGGTTTGAATACTTTATTTATGGTTGTTTTTAAATCTAAGAGAAATTTGTAATAGATATTTATTAATGTATAGGTGCTAAAATAGTAAGAGATGTTTAATTTGAATGTATAACTATTTTTTTTTTAAACTTTCATAGAGCGGATGAATAAAACCTTTAAAATGGCCATATCAAGAAAATGTGAAATTATTATTGTCTTGAAAATTTTATGTTTTTGCTTTTTATTTTTTACTTAAAATATTATTTTTATTTTTTTTTTGTCTTTGATTTTTACTTATAAAAGCTAATGTTACGCTACTTTAAAAATTTTAGGCCCCTACTCATATAGATGGCTAGATTCGCCCCTGAAGCTTGAACCTCGACGAGCTGATCGAATTCGAGTATTAACGAGATGAACCATAAAATATATATATATATATATAAAATTATGTTAGACTTTAATGAGCCGATTCGAATCTCTCTCGCTAACTAAATGAGCTCGACTTAAATCTAAGCTCATGTCTTAACAAGCCGAGCTCAAACATCCGATTTAGTTTAACAACTTCATCATAAAGCTCTGAGGCACGTGCCTCAAGCCCATGAATTACAGCGGCCCAAAATAGTGGGTTACATATAGTGACCTAACGTAAAATAATCGACGTGATCGCGTATAAAGCCCCTTCAGGCCCATGCATATAAGTGCCCTGGATAAGTCTACATGTACACACGACCCGAAGAGGAACGGAGAGAAAGCTGGAGTCACAGAACACAGTGAAAAGCGGGGCACGAAGAAATTAGGTCCCATATTCCATTGCCATACGGAAGATCTAACGAGGTGAGCTCCAGCTTCCAAACCCTAAGTTCCCAATTGATAGAACCCAAATTCGTTGCGAAATTGTGTTTACTTTGTGAAATGGCATGAAACTATAATTTGAGAAGCAAAAGGATCGGTGAAGCTGTTACGAAGTGTTATTCAGCGAGAAACTTGGTTTCCTCGTTCGAAGGATTGCTTTGCTTGATGATATTTGAAAATTTGTGATTGAAATTTCTAGGGTTCGTATAGTTTGTTTGAATCTGGTCTTCGTGATCTGATGCTTTATTTATGTTTGTTGGGTTGTTTAATCTGAAAGGGTTTTATATTGCACCTTCTTGATTTTCCGATTTTGATGATGATGTATAAAATTGATAGATATCCATTTTTTATGTAGTTTCTGTGATGTGAATGTTTTTATATGTTGTATGTTCGGTCCAATTTTTTGAATGTTGCCTCAGTAGGCCTATTAATCTACCCACCGGCCGGTCACTCTGTAGCTGTGGTGGAGCTTTAAGGCAGAAGAAACTTGATTTGTATTATTCTGTTTGAATAGGGTTAAGTTTGCCTGCTTTTCCGATTACTTTGATTGATTATCATTTGTCATGTGATGCTCTTCTTGATTTGTATTATTCTGTTTGTATGGTTTGATGTATTTAGATATTTCCGAACTTTATATGTGCGGATGTATTACATTTGTCAAACTAGGCTCGTTATCTCCTACTTGTTTGTTTTTTTTATCATCCATACCTTTTAAGCTCAAATTCTATATTAGTTTGTTCTATTTTTTCTTCTCTACGTGTATTTCAGTGTCTGTTTTCACTTTTCAGGAATTAAAGTAATTGTTTATCTGTTTAAGCTGCTGGTCGTGCATGAAGTTTCCTGAATCCCTTAAAAAAAAAACAGTTCTTTTATTCAGTTTTTTCTGGACTTAAGTCATAATTTTTATTTTTATTTTTATTTTTTCGTAAATTTTGTAGCATATCTCCTTAAAAGGCTTCAGCTGCAGATTTCAATGTTTTCTGGTCTTAATGTTATTGGTACTGTTTACTTATTTATGTACTTTGCTGGGGTTGTAGGATTGCTGACATTGGGATCAGATCTTGAAGATGGTGGCCTTGAAAGACATTCTTCCACCTGCAAAATCTTCCGTAACTACTAATTATGACCACTCAAACGACCCCTGGTTCAAAAGTCGGTTCAGTCTGTCTGAATCCGAGGAATCTGAAGCTCCCAAGGCCAAGCAAGTGCCTCCTTACCTAAAACGGTCTGGATTTAAGCCCTCAAAGCCCGAGGATTTTGGAGATGGAGGTGCATTCCCTGAAATCCACTACGCGCAGTACCCTCTTGGCATGGGCCGAAGCCCAAACCAGAAGCCCGGAGGGAAGACATTGCCTCTCACAGTGGACGAGCACGGGAATCTACGATACGACTCAATCGTGAGGCAGAATGAGAACTCAAAAAAAATTGTGTACTCCGAGCACTCGGACCTTGTCCCGATTTTCGCGAAGGATAAGGAGAACAAGGACGAGATGGACATGGATGAGAAACAGAAAGAGATAGAAGAGACCACTCAAGAAACCAAAGCTGCCCTCGAGAAAATCGTGAATGTCCGATTAAGTGCTGCTCAACCGAAAAACGTCCCCACGCAATCATCGGACTCCAAGTTTATCAAGTACAAGCCCTCCCAGCAGTCGGCTGCCTTTAACTCAGGTGCTAAGGAGAGAATCATCCGCATGGTGGAAATGCCCGTTGACCCTCTCGAGCCTCCCAAGTTCAAACACAAGAGGGTCCCGAAGGCCTCCGGCTCGCCACCTGTCCCGGTCATGCACTCTCCTCCGCGGCCCGTAACAGTTAAAGATCAGCAGGACTGGAAAATCCCTCCATGCATATCTAACTGGAAGAATCCCAAAGGTTACACAATACCTCTCGACAAGCGTCTAGCGGCTGATGGCCGAGGGCTCCAAGATGTTCAGATCAACGACAATTTCGCGAAATTGTCCGAGGCTCTGTATGTTGCCGAACAAAAGGCTCGGGAGGCAGTTGCTGTACGGTCCAAGGTTCAAAAGGAGATGATGATGAAAGAGAAGGAGAAGAAAGAGATGGAGCTTCGGGAGTTGGCCCGTAAGGCCCGATCCGAAAGGACAGGTGTTGCAGCAGCTGTGGCTATTCCGTCAGAGAGGACTAATAATAATAATAATAACGACGATGATATGAGAGTCGAGTATGAACGCGCGAAAGAGACGAGGGAGGAGAGAGAGGAGAGGCTGCAGAGAGAGAAAATCCGCGAGGAGAGGAGGAAAGAGAGAGAGAGGGAGAGGAGGCTTGAGGCGAAAGATGCTGCCATGGGCAAGAAGAGCAAGATTACACGAGACAGAGACCGTGACATTAGTGAGAAAGTTGCGCTCGGGATGGCCTCGACTGGCGGTAGAGGTGGAGAGGTTATGTATGATCAGAGGCTATTTAACCAGGAGAAAGGGATGGATTCCGGTTTTGCCACTGATGATTCGTATAACATATATGATAAAGGCTTGTTCAATTCCCAGTCTACTCTGAATACTCTGTACCGGCCGAAGAAGGATGCTGACGGTGAGATGTACGGTGGGGCGGACGAGCAGTATGAGAAATTGATGAAAACCGAGCGATTTAAGGCTGATAAAGGATTTGCTGGCACATCGAAGGCGGCGGGCCCCAGGGATGGGCCGGTCGAGTTTGAGAGGGATGCGCCTGAGGAAGACCCGTTTGGTTTGGACCAGTTCTTGACGGAGGTTAAAACTGGTAAGAAGGCTATGGAGAAAGTGGGGAGTGGGGGTACTCTGAAGGCTGGGGCGGGGTCCATGAGGGATGACTATGGCGGGTCGGGCAGGTCAAGGATCGGGTTTGAACAGGGCGGGCGTTGAGTTTTGATGTTGGTGATCTCGTGCGTTGGTTTAGCCTCTGCTCGAGTTGTGAAGTCGTGCTCTGCATGGATTGTCTGTGTGCGGGCTTTGTGGTGGGAATGGAAATCGTGCATTGTTGGTAATGTATTCTCGTTTATGCCTTGTTTGAACTTGAACTATGAAACTTGTTTAATTGTATGGTTATGATTATGATAATGAGATGTTTTTTTATGTTGTTTCCGAATTGTATTGACTGTGTTTCCCCAAGTGTTGCGGCTGGTCCTTCTACTGTGGAATTCTCATTGGCCAGTAACGTCTATGCATTTATCAATTGCCTGGGAATTAGTAATTCGTTTTTTCTCCCTCTTTTTCCTCCGTTATTGGTGACACGTTTATGGATTTTTCTGCAAATGCTGGACTCTGGCTCTTTTCATGCATCCTTAAGGATTCTCTTGTTGCTCTGTTCAGACATTGAACATTGAAATTGAATGATCTTGTATGCATTTCTGTTGGAAGTCATTTCAAAAATTATTGGACTCGGTATCAAACTTGGCATAGTTTCTAGCGTTAGAGCTGCATCCTGTCCATTGAATGAACTCCTATTCATTTTACTTGTATGTTCTCATTGAGACCTTCTCTGCTATAATTCAAAAGATAAAGTAACCAAAAATAAAAAATAAAAAATTCCACATCCATATTTGATATAAAGAAAACTGTCAAAGCTTGTTTACCAGTAAACAAACCATGACAGATNCACGAGCCGTCCCACGCTCGGTTTTTCACCGCTCGGCCATCATTTCCCGCATGAGCTCCAATATCTCGCCCCTCATCCGAGACACTCTCGACTGATTCACCTTCTCATCCAACTCCCGAAACCAAATCCCATCGTCCTCCTTCCCTTCTCCCGCGTGGTACCACTCGCATATAGCCTCCGCAACAGCCGCCACATAGACCCCACAGTCGTACCCGTTCGTCTGCCCCGGCTCGATCGGCCGCTCCACATAGGCCACCTCCTCCCTTACCACGTACCTGCGCACGGCCAAATAAACCCTCCTCGCGTGCTCTCTGTTGTGGGACCCAAAGCTGTCGTGGTGGACAAAAACGTCTCTGCCACCCGAGCAGCGCCTCCTCCTCATGAACGCCAGCAGGCTCCAGTGGGACCCGCCGCCCGCCAGCTCCACGTCAGCATTGTCGTTAACCGGGAATATGACCAGCTTTCTCGTGTGTAGATTGAGGGGTTGAAGAAAATCTCGCAGGAGCTCGTTATTATCCGGGCATTCTTTTATCCAGAAGGCAATGGAAGGTGGGACGAGGAGAACTTCTTCGTTGCTCGGGAAGCGCGTTGCCAGTTGGCTGAAGTAAAACTCGATTACACGGTCGTTGAGGAAATGTGGGCCCGAGAGGATTTCGAGGTCCGACCGCCGCAAGACGACGTCGTTGTAGCTGAGGATTTTGTCGTCCGGGTTTTTCAATGCTTCCATGTTTGTTTCNTAAAACGAAAAAAATAAAAAGTGATGTTTTTAAGGGTTTTGTTTATGTTTTAAGGAAGATGTCCGGCCTTTCATTTAACCTTCAGATATACCATAATCAAGCTACACTCGAATAGCAAATATGAATTTTCATGTAAGGCTATCTTTGGTAAAACTAATTGATAAACTATCTATCTATAAGCTAGCTAGTTGACAGCTTATAACTGATTTTCGAGCTTATAGCTTATGACTTATAACTGAAAAGCTAGCTTATATGATAAAAGTGTTTGGTAAAATTAACTGAGCTGAAATAAAAATTTCAACGAGCGTATTTGAAAAACTATCCAAAGAAGCTTATGAGATAAGCTGGAGCTTTTTAAAAAACTCGTCCTACTAAACGAACCAAACGAAGCTAATTTAAATACAAGAAGCTTATAAGCTAACCAAATAAGCTATAAGCTACCTTATTTAGTTACCAAACATAGCCTAACTAGAGAACTATTCCTTCAAAGTAATACAATTAGAGTACAAATATGAAAACCAACTAACGCAAGCATTTTATAGCAACAGTTATACTAATGTGAAATTTTGAATTCAATTTTAGATATAAAAAAAATTATAGCCATTTCAAGACACAGCATATGTACACAAACTAACAAATCTAACACCAATGCTTTATTACTGTTCGATCTTCTGTTTCAGTTTTCATCCAAAACTCGAAATACGCTTCCTTGAGGATTTCATCAAGTAAAACATAGCTCAAACTTCCAAACATGTACAGACACCTATCACCCATTAGTCCTTTAAAATTGTGAAAAATCATACAATTCAAAAGTTATTGATTGCCAAATCGGTTATATATAGAAATCCCAGATTAATCTTCACTATGTTCCACAAGTTAGTGCAAAATAACTCTGAAAACTATAAATCTACACCATAATTTCATTAAAATGCTCGGGGCAAGGCTAGTTCAAGTTCTCTACCTCATCCGGTTGTTACAATCTCTCACAACCTACCAACAATAATGTGATTTAAAATCACACAAACATATGAAAATGCAGAGAACAAAAATTTCTCTTTTTCCTAATCCCATTGGCACTACACACACATACTCATATCTATATCGAGCTCTTCCCCAAAAAACATTATACCGCCTTTGATTTGTGGATATGGTTCACTTGATGCTCGACAAGAACTTAAGAACAGAGACTATTTCAACGGGGACGAACAGTTTACTCGCGGCAATAAACAGACAATTGACTCACGGACCAGAAATTCTCAAAACCCATCTTTTTAACATTCGAAATCGACTATTTAAAGCCAAAACAAGCAAGCCCACCAAAGTGAAACATGAAAAGTTACGAACTTTACTCACCTTTTACAGCAATCCGCAGCTATTACCAAGCAATCCTTCAATTCGGAGTTCCAAATGAACACTTTTGAATATTTAAGCGTTGAGCAAGCCAAATCAATAACGAATTTGGATATAGAAGCGAGATCTTCCCTTCTCTTCTTGAGTTCCGATGAGGAAAACTGAGAAATTTGATGGGGTTTGTGTTCTTTGAGCTGAAAGTGGGAGATTCTGTGGACCAAACAGAAGCTTATAGTAAACAATGTTATTATCAAGGTAACATTTAAATTAACCTAATTTAATAATCGAACGAACGCGAGATTGCAAACGTTCTATAATTTTTGCGAACATTTTATTATACTTTTATTTTATTTTTATATACTTATATGATATTTTTTAATAAAATAAATTTTAATATTAAAAATACTTTTATTTTATTTATTTTTTCGAAACATTCTAAAGGCATCCACAACGCAAATTCTCAAATACCATTCATTCAATCAAACAGTAACATTCTCTCTCATCCACATCATCTTTTCACTAAATCTCTCTCCATTGAAACACACACCCACATTCATACACATTCATTTAAATACATATATGGACCCATTATCTACTCATTCAATATAAATTTTAACATTCTATCAAGGGCGTAGCCATAAATTTTTTTTATACTGGGCTGTAAAATATGTTACTATTATTCGGACCGTGTTGGTCTCAAACATAGTTTGATTCGACTTGTAAAAGTCCACGCTTGTTTATTTAAACAAGACAAAATCGAGAAACTAATCGAGCTTGTCTATCTAACAAGTCGAGTTGAGCGTATTTGCAAATAATTCAGTTAAAGTTTTGGGTTTTGTAGAAGTTTTAAGGTTTACTAAATTAATTGAACTGAGTTTATACGAGTCCAACCCAAACTCAAATTTTTATTTGTTTATTAAACAGATAAGCAACGATAACTCGATTATTAAATGATCACTAGCTCGAACTTCAAATACTCGATTCAAAAGATCTAGCTAGACACATGTTTAAAGAAGTCAAAGTATGAAAATAATTTTTATATTTAATATAAATTACCTTAATCACATAGTAAATTTAAATACTATTATACTTTCTGACTAGCCGTATTTTATATGGAGGTGACTCTCCTTGACAAAAACTTGAAATTTTTTAACTAGTCTCTTATATATATAACAAATATTTATTTTTAATTGTTTCATCATTTTTTCTTTAAAAATGTACAAAGATAAATTTTTTCATTTACTTGAATTTTAATTAAAAACAACATAATTTATTCAAATAACTACTATAAAACAGTATAATAGTCTCGTCATTCGTGTTATACGTCATGTCATTTAAAGTACATATGTCATTTCATTGAATTTATCAGATAAATAATTGAGATTTAATAGTAAATTTCATATAATCAACTATCATTTATTTAAAAATTAAGTGAGTATATAAAGTTGATTGTGAAATCTATAAATTTAATTTTATACTAAATATTTTAATAAAAGTCTGGCACAATCAAATATTGTCTTGAATATAATTATTCAAATAAAATCTATTTAATCAAACAATAGAAAATAAATACGAAAATAACATAAAAGAGGCATAATAATCTAAAAGGAAAAGTGGAAAGAATCTTAAATCATGTTCAAATATATAATATATCGATTCAATGTAAACAAATTTAACTTATTTTGGGCCAAAATAAGATTAATACTAGGCTAATATAGTTTAACATGGGCTAAAATATTATTTTACCAGTATAAAATTAACGAAGTCATAAAATTAAGACCGGGCTGGAGCCCACCCCAGCCTTTGGGGTGGCTCCGCCACTGCATTCTATTATCAATAAAAATAAAAATTTAATATTTTTAAATTATAATAATAAATTTTAAATGCACAAAAATAAAAGAACACTCGAGGACAAAAAAAATGATTAAATATATAAAAAGAAAAAAATGAATTAAAATCAAATGAAAACAAAAAAAAGCACCCAAAGTGCATTAAAAATAAAATATATAAATATATAAAAAGAAAAAAAAAATGATTAAAATTAAATGAAAACAAAAAATAGCACCCAAAGTGCATTAAAAATAAATGAAAAAAAAATAATAAAAATAAGGCACAAACATTCTATTGAACGGACAAGTGGGTACCCACTCTTTAATGGACGGCTTCATTGCAAATGAACGGCAATATGATGTTCAAACGGGACAAATTAACGCCCGTTGCGGATGCTCTAAACAAAACATTTGAAGTTAAACATACAATTCTAAAAAGTTGGTTTTAAATTTGAACTTTAGCGAATAATTAAACAAACAAACACAAACACAAATTTTCACTAAAAAAAATAAATACATGAACAGGAACAATGTTCGAATGTAAACATACATAAATTCGTTTAACTCATTCAGTTTGACTAGTGTGTATCCCGTGCGCTGCACGGAGGAGTTTTTATTTAAAACCTTTTCTAAGACTTTATATTATACATAGTTATTTATGTTTAACATCTTATTATTATAAAAAAAGAAATACTAAATATGAAAAATTATATATTATTTATTGGAATATAATGAGTGTCCCAACCAAACTAATAACATCCAACATATGATATATGATAAAATTAATTATATGATTGTCATACTTTTTGAAAAAATATACATATATTTCTAATAAACATGTAAGATCCGCATTTAAATTTGTATTTGGATATGGGATGAAAAATGAATATGTACAAATAAAAAAGTACCAAGAACCTACATAAAATGAGATTCTTTATAAACTTTAAAATATTTTGTAGTTAAGCAAATATTAACAAACAAAATCATCAATTAAGTTGAACTTATCGAATATAAAATATAATTTATGATATCATTGACCATATTTACCCGTTGTATTTAAAGTTATCATTGACCATATTTTTATGAATTAGGGTTTACAAAATATCTTTTTCAAAATAACAATTTTTTTTAATTTGAATTTGACTTTTTCATCCAACCGCCATTTTCCACAAGAATAAAAATAGTATTTTGGAAAATTTTAGACGTGAAAATCAAATAAAATTAATTTAATAGTAATCGATTAATTTAATATTATTCAAAATTGTTTAATTCGGTCAACCCGATCTTAGTGCACGTTTCATTGAAACAATCGCTTACCAAAAAAAAAGGTAATCGCTTACAAAAAAAGGAAGTGAAATCTATCTATATAATATAAATCAGATTTGAAAAAAAAAAGGAAATGAAATTTCATAATTAATTAACTTAAATTGATGTTATTCGATTTATATCAACTCCCTTCCAAAAAAAAAAGGAAATATCCGATTCCTACCAAATCGATTAAAAAAAAAAAGGATTATAATATACGTCCAAATAAATTACAATTGAAATGTAGGCGGGATTATGAAAAAAAAATAAAAAAAACTTTACCGAATGTTTGAAAAAAAAAATCGGATTAAAAAAAATTAAAAGGAAAAAATTAAAAACGTGAAATTAAAATTAAAAACGTGAATTAAAATTAAAAAAATTAAAAATACAAAATTTACCAAATCTCAACCCATAAAAAAAAAGGAAAATCGAGTGAAATAAAACGTAAAAAAAAAGGAAAAGCGAGTGAATTAAAAATGTACCAAATCGGATTTTAAAAAAATGGTAACAAATCTCATCTCATCCTAAAGAAAAGGAATTATAACAAATTTAACAAAAAAAACAACCAAATCTTATCCTAAAATAAAACAATCCGATTTCCATAAATCACATCCAAAATCAAATTAAGTTAGGCGGGATAAATAAAAAAAATTCAAAAAGAGTTTCCAAAACAGGTAATTTTCGAAAAATTTGAGAGGGAAAAAATGATGTTTAAGCGGGAAATGAAATATTTATTCAAACATTATTCAAACATTTTTCCTTCTCCGTTTTATATAGTAATAGATTACACTGATCGTTTATTAATCTATATATATAAAAAAAGAATTAACATTTATCAAAAATAGCAGCAAAAAAGTCAATAAGCATTTAATGCATACTTTATTTGGAAACTTTTTAAATATATGCATTAATTGTTTTAATATACGCATTTCCAAATCAAATATGACCAAAAAGATTCTTTCCTTGAATAATTTTATTTACATATGCAATAATTTTATTGATATCCATTATAATAAACTATAATTTGGTTTTTCGTGATTGATGTTGATAATATTTTGGTCAACATAAACATGAAAACAACTTTTAAGTCTTAACTATATTATTTTTTTTTTTCACAAATGTTGACTTTCATCCTAAAATATTTATAAACAATGGTAACATGTTAAATAATTCTCCATCTGACTAATTAGCCGAAATCAAGTTGGTGAATTAATATTTTTCGATAATATTTTTTAACCTTTATTTAATTATATAAACAAATAATTTACCATTTAAGAGATAATGATCACATCATTAAATAATTTATTAATGACTAAATAATATAATTAAAATATATTAACTATTCTTTACATTTTCAACATTTGATTTATTTGTATATTATTGTCGACCATGATAATTTTATCATTTTTTTTATTTTTATTTGTTTCCATAATGAGTTTATTGTAAAATATATATTTATATTGCATAGTATGTTAAATAAACTAATAAAGCCTTAGGATGCAAATTAGAAAAATCTCTTGATTATGTAAGGTTTATTATTTGATAATTTGCTAAATTAATTTTTTTTAATTATTATGAGAAAATTAAATTTTAAAAAACATGTGTGTGTATTTTGTAAACATTTATAGATTTTTTTTTTTATTTTAAACTCATTACATAAACTAAGAAGAAGAAAACTACTTCTATAACCTTTATAAATAATAATAATGACATTATATGACAATAAATATTATAATAAAATAATAATTGACTATTAAATAAATGGTGAACAAGAATAAACATAAATTTTATTTTATTTTTCTTATATCGATGGATATATATATGTTGCAGAATCAAATTTATATCAATATAACGTGTTAGCATAATGATATATTAATAGCATGTCAACGTTATGACTAAAATAAATATCACTGATTGAAAGAAATGGAAAATTAGTGATCCAACCCTATTATTTTTTGTCAAAATCGTACAAACCATATAGATGACTCAATTAATATATGTGTCCCGTGCATCGCACGGGCTACGCACTAGTTGATTAAAAAACAAAAACGATGTCAAGTTCATTTATTAAAAAAAAAACTCCATGAGGATGTGAAAGCCACTTAATGAAGTGCATTCAACAGCATTTAGTAGAAATGCATTAATTTTACAAATTACAATGTTCGCTTGGAGATTATTTCACTAATTAACTTGTAAACTCCAAAAATAACGAAAAAATTCCTTCTTTTTTTGTTTCACGCGAATAAACAAACGCGTCAGCTTTTTGGCGTGAATAGAATTGTCAACGTACCTTCTTCCATTTCATTTTCTTCCCAAATCTCACATGGCGGTTGCCACCGTTGCCAGCCCTCCACCGCCGTAGAATCTACTCGGTGAATACGTACACATATACGTTCAATTGTAACCTGTATCTCATACCGACACTTTGTCTCATATACACGCACTGAACATCAATATCTCTCTCCGGTTGTCGGTGTGATTGTGATCGAATTCAGATCTGAAAAAGGTTTACCAAAAGCGATCGAATTTCATTAAATAAGTGCGGGTTTTTCTGGGGTTGTATGGAAAATGGAGTACATCGACAATTTGCCCGCCATGGATCTGATGCGCTCCGAGAAGATGATGTTTGTGCAGCTTATCATCCCCGTTGAGTCAGCTCATCGCGCGGTCTCTTATCTCGGCCAGCTTGGTCTCCTCCAGTTTCGTGATGTGCGTAACCTTTCACTATTTGTTTGTGTGATTTTGCGTTTTCATTTGATTGGATCATCACTGTATAAAATGCTAGCTGGGAAAATGTGGTTTTTGCATCTGATTAGGCAAGGAGTCTCGTGTAGTTGATTTTTTGGTATTAGCAGTTTTTTTTAGCTTCAATATGAGATCAGTAGTCAGGTGGCGATTAAACCCAATTGAAGAATTTTCAACCAGTAAATTTATCTTTTTGGGAGAGAGAATGTGTTTAGACTATTTCGATGGATACACTGAAAGTGCATTGTCATTCTATTCCATTCACTGAGTCATTTTTTCTTGCTTAACCGTTTTAGTGAAATAAATTATGCAGTGTCATGTGTAAAATGAAAATCAGAACCGAGGAAGAGTCTTTTACGGTTTTATTCGTGATCTAGACTGTAAATCTTAATTCTTAAAAAGTGTAAATGGTGATATTGTTCAACCTCTCTATTCTTTTGGTGATGCTATTGAGGAACTACATTGGCACACTCTGACATTTTTCTGCGAGATTTATGTGCAGTGTTTTGAAGGAAGGCTTCTCCATGCTTATGTCATTTTTATTAATTCTTTGATTTGCTAACATCGATGCACCCATCTCATTCGTTTATTTCATTTGGTTATCTTTTGCAGTTAAATGATGATAAAAGTCCTTTCCAGAGAACGTTTGTTAATCAGGTATTATTTAGCAATTTGTTGTTGATAAGTGCAAGATACTTCTCAGTATCCTCTTTTCAGCTTGTGGGAAGTTGAAACTTGAATATAAGCTGAGTACTTAGGCAATAATAATCTATTCTCCATTTCCTTTATTACTTTCAAGGTCCAATGCACCTGTCATGACTAAACTTAAGATGCAAATAACTTGGGATAGGTTTATGTTGTTTATATTAGTAGACACTTGAGCTTTAACTGAAATATATCACTAGACTATAAGATATGTTGACGGTAAAGGTCATGCAAACTGTAAACACTTTGAAAGCATTGCTGCTTGAGATGGTTGGTGATTATGCTGAAGCTACTTTGGTTCATGGAGATGTGGTAGTGGTGCTACGTCTTGAAGAAAATGAGTCTTTTCAGATACCATTATCCTTGGTTATAAAAGTTCGGTTCATTGTCTAGGTTAAAAGATGTGCTGAGATGTCCAGGAAACTACGTTTTTTCAAAGATCAGATACATAAAGCTGGTCTAATTGCACCCCCAAATCCGGCTTCCCAGCCTGATATTGAATTAGAAGAACTTGAGGTCCCTTTCTCCTTCTTCTTCTTTTTTTCTTTTTTTTTTTTCGTTCTCTTCTTGTTTTTAATGTTATACTGAGTACTACAGTTCAGTTTCACCTGCCAGCAAACTAACATACTTATGCTAGAAATACCTTTTCATCGCTTTTCCTGCAACGAATTTGTATTTTTCTTCTATTCTTTTACTTTCTTTTGATTTTAGGTCCGTCTGGCTGAGCATGAACATGAGCTGATTGAAATGAACAGTAACAGCGAGAAACTGCAGCAAACATATAATGAGCTGCTTGAGTTCAAGATGGTTCTGCGGAAGGTACATTTGCAAACATCTTCTTTTGTAGGCTCGTGAAGTGACAATCATATTTGCAAAGTGAAAGCACGCTAAACATTTTAGGTGAAGTCTGTGAATACACAAATGTATTGAAGTGTAACCTGAAGTGTAACCCTTGTAGTATTATCAAGTTTTGACTTTTTTTTGAATAAGGCTTCATTGTGTTACTTTTCATGATGTTAATGATATTGTATAGTTATGTTTTTATTTTTTGATCTTTTCATTTTAGTTCATGTTACTTTCTTCATATGAAAATCTCAGAACATTCCAACCTTTTGGAAGATCCTTTGAAGGATATCTGAAGTTTCTCTTAATCCCTGAAATGTAACGTATACTATGTTAGTGGTGTAAGGAAAACATCGAAAAAATTATGGAAGATTGGAGAAGAGTCATTGTCATTTAATCTGACCACAATGGGAAACTAAATCTTCTTTTCGTTCACCTAGGCAGCATAGCAATGCAGAAGTGGTTTTCCTCCTTTTTCTTCATTCATACCGGCAACTAAGATGTTAAAAAATTGGACACGATACAGGGTGGAAAATTAAGAAATCCCTTAGGCAACAGAGAAAGAAAATGATTAAAAATTGGAATAGATGAGTTCATGGTTCAATTGATTACCACTATTTTGTAGGTTAAGTGGCATCTCTCATATCCTTGATAAGGGTGTCGCAATTGTTGGTACAAGGTTTGATCATTGTACCTCACAGTTTATTAGGAATTTAGACTCCCCTCACAGCCAGTCCCCATTAGTATTAAAAAAAAATTGATTGACTTGGGTCAATCGGAAAAATTAAACTGTAAAAGAATTACTTGAACAGTATTAAAAGTATGTCAAATGCAGATTATTTATAACTGTATTAAAAGCTCAAGACATGCATAAATACATATTTAGTTTAATCTAAGTTTGTCAGCTGTGTCACACACCCGGATATGTACCAGTCCCACACCTGTTTCTGACCCAGAGAAACATATTCCTCTTGTAGATTGTACTGTTATTTATTGGTGATCATCAATTTAAATGTTGAATGGTAATTCCAGGCAGGTGACTTCCTTGTGCCTGGTGGGAATCATTCTGCAGCTCAAGAGACAGAATTAGATGAAAATGTCTATACGAACAATGATTATGGTGATGCCGCATCACTGCTTGAACAGGTAATGATTTCTACGATCCTTTATTGGCAGAGAACTTTGAAGTTGTGAATTTGCAGATGCTGTATTTATGCATGGTTTTTTAAGTGCAGGAAATGCAACCTGGATCATCTGACCAATCTGGTGTAAAATTTATAAGTGGAATCATTTGTAAGTCTAAAGTTCTAAGATTTGAGAGGATGTTATTTCGTACTACAAGGGGAAATATGCTTTTTAATCAGGCATCAGCAGAAGATCAAATTGTGGATCCTGCATCAAATGAAATGGTCAGTTCCCAATTTCCTTCCTGAAACTGTATATTTCTTTATTTGAAAGCTCAACCATTAAAAAGCCAAAAAGAAGGATGCCCTGCACTTTCGGGACCCATTTTTTTTTTTTTAAATTCTAATATAGTAGTTTGACTGTTATTTGAATAACTGATGTGTACCTTTGTACCTGCAGATAGAGAAAACCGTTTTTGTGGTATTCTTCTCTGGGGAGCAGGCAAGAAAAAAGGTCCTGAAAATTTGTGAAGCATTTGGCGCGAGCTGCTATCCAGTTCCCGAGGACACGACCAAGAGGAGGCAAATAACTAGAGAAGTACGATGCTGAACTGATTACTTTTTTAAAGAAAAATTTGAGGGACACTTGTATCCTGTTGTATTATTATTTGACATACTTAGCAGTTTCCCCAGTTTTTTATCATTAATGCACCCTGAAGTATGTACAGAAAATAAAATTGCCTTCACTTTCCTTTTCCTTTTACATTTATGTGCTTTTGCTTCACAGTGCATTTAATGTGTATGTTGATTAAGATGCATGATCATCTCAAGCTGAAGAACTTCTATGCATGATCACTTATGCGTTTTGAACTTACAATGTTAGTTAGATGAGTTTGTACGTGTTAGAAAATCTGTATCATTCTATCAAATGTACGCAGTTCATCATTGTAACTACATGCATATTGGTTCAATTGATGTTCTACATTATAGTTTTCTGATTATTTTCATCTCTATATCTTCTGGCATATCCTGCTTTTATGCAACTTTTGCATTATATTTGGTCGATGCAAAGTAGTAGAGCCATTCTTATTAGCCTTTTGCTTTCAGGTTTTGTCACGGTTATCTGAGTTGGAAACTACCTTAGAGGCTGGCCTACGCCATCGGGATACTGCTCTCACTTCTATTGGGTTTCATCTTACAAAGTGGATGAATATGGCAAGTTTTTATTCTTCGATTCTTTTTGCTTAACACTTTAAATCTGTGGATGCAAGGGCAGGAACTCATATTCATTTCTTTAACTCTTTCTAGGTGAGAAGGGAAAAGGCTATTTATGACACATTAAATATGCTGAATTTTGACGTCACAAAGAAGTGTCTGGTTGGTGAGGGTTGGTGTCCAGTATTTGCAAAACCGAAGGTACAGATATACTGTGTTATGTTATGTATACTCTTGAGATGCACATAGAGTTAACTTCTGTTTTATAAAATTTAGTTAGAACATAGAAAGATAAAATTCCAAAAATTGCAGATTCAAGAAGCTTTGCAACGTGCAACTTTCGATAGTAATTCACAAGTGGGTATGGTATTTCATGTGATGGACTCAATTGAGTTGCCTCCAACGTACTTCAGAACCAACCATTTCACCAATGCATATCAAGAAATTGTTGATGCATATGGGTAAGGGAATGTATAATCAATTCTTTTGGAGATAATGGCATCATGTTGTTCAGTAGGTTGCATTAACAATGTTATTTGATTGCTAAAACTTCATGTGTTTTAGGGCCTTGTGGCAATCAGGTTGATAAAAATTTCATCAGTGTTTCCTCTCATTGTTCAAATCTAGTAAGAAATCTTGGGTTTTGAAGGTCTCCGTGATCAAAGATGCCATTTTCTATAGTGGGACCTTTTCTCCTTTTATTTTGCATTGATGGCATTTTCAGTAGCGTTTTATGAAACGTCTCTTAGCTTATTTGCAAATGTTGTAGATAGGTAATTCACACCCATCAGTCTAACCCAGGAAAGATTAAAAGATCCAATTGATTGAAGTAGAACTCATAAAAATACAATGCATCTATGAGTTCGTGTGCACATGCACATGTTCGTGACTAAGCGTCACAGCCTTAAGAGGGGTAGGTCATAAGACTATGGGATGGGTAACCCTAGAAGGTTTGACCAATGTCATTGGTGTGACCGATGTCATTGTTCAGGGCATGTTTGGTGTTGCTATATGAGGAATCTAAGAGTGTTTGCTTCCCCAGCTATTCAAATCTGATGATCAAAGTTATAGGTGCTCCTTAAAGAAAGAAATTACCAATGAATCATTGATGATATTTATGATTTAATAGTTAGGAAATTGGTGATGGTTTGACATGATGTGTGTTAATGCTATCAGGTTGGAAGCATTAACTTGATGGCAATTCTTTGAACTGTATATCTGTCTTTGACTACAACATATATATGAGATTAAAAAGTCAAGTAAGCTACTGACTAACACACTATTCTTGCAGTGTTGCTAAATATCAGGAGGCAAATCCTGCAGTTTATACTGTTGTTACATTTCCATTTCTTTTCGCTGTGATGTTTGGGGATTGGGGTCATGGCATATGCTTACTCTTGGGAGCTTTGTTCCTTATAGCCCGTGAGAGAAGACTTGGTTCTCAGGTATTGATCAAACACCTGAATATGTACCAGTTTCGGACACCTGTGTCACAGTTGAAACAACATAGCTAATTAGAATTAGTTTAATGGCAGTAACTGATGGCTGTTGTGACATCGAATCTATATTATACCAGATGAGGCATGATTACCTTTACGCTTTGCAGAGACATAAGGTGTCCTAGAAAGAATGGATATATCAACTCTCCGTTTGTTGTACTTTAATGATGGTTAACAGCATGTTTACCTTTGAGTCATTGACAACTTATTTTTATTATGCTGCTTATTTCTGTCAGTGCTAGTTATTGCTTTCTTTCGGTATATCCTCCTGTAATTTTAAATGTCTATTTCCATCAGAAACTTGGCAGCTTCATGGAGATGCTATTTGGTGGCCGATATGTCCTCCTTTTGATGTCCCTCTTCTCAATTTACTGTGGCTTGATATACAATGAATTCTTTTCCGTTCCTTTTCATATATTTGGCAGCTCTGCCTATAGATGCCGGGATGCTACATGCAGGTAATGTTCTGAAATTCTCTATCAATTCAGTTTCCAGATAAAGCATCAATAATCCTTTGCGATTTACTGGACATATCATGTGCTGGAATTACTGTATTGTTGGAACTTGACTAAGTAGGAGCCCAGTGAATTAGGTAACTGAATGTTATTAACCTCTAGATTTTGACAGCTGAATAATTTTGTTTGCCTCAGTCGATGGTGTTAGTTAATGGCCAGTCTGAATCAATTTATGATATTCACTGCTTGTACATTTGGGTCCTCCACCAAGCGGGGTTCCCTATTTTTCTCTATCACTATTGTCAGTCTACTCTAACTGTGTTGTGTGTCACTGATGTGATTTTACTCAGGTATCTCTTCTTTTAGCTATAGATTTTATACTGTTGTTCCCTATTCCTGTTTTGACAGTGATGCTCATACAGTTGGTTTAGTCAAAGATAGAGATACATATGCATTTGGTGTTGATCCAAGTTGGCGTGGAAGCCGTTCTGAGCTGCCATTTCTGAACTCTCTAAAGATGAAGATGTCTATTTTATTTGGTGTAGCACAGATGAATCTAGGAATTATACTAAGTTATTTCAATGCACGCTACTTCAGCAACTCACTTGACATTAGGTATGCCTCTCTCTCTCTCTCTATATATATATATGTGTGTGTGTGTGTGTGCGTGCATCATTTAGTCATTTTAGAGGCTTACTCAGTTGTTATCTTAACAGGTACCAGTTTGTGCCACAGATGATCTTCCTGAACAGCCTGTTCGGATATCTTTCTCTTCTCATTATTATTAAATGGTGCACTGGTTCTCAAGCAGATCTTTACCATGTGATGATTTACATGTTCTTAAGTCCTTTTGAAGACTTGGGTGAAAACAAGCTGTTCTGGGGTCAGGGTGTACTTCAGGTATGACATTTATTAAATCTTCTGATTTTGCTTTCATATAACTATAAATGTAAAATAGTGTACGTTAAGCAGAAGTGAATCATTAGTGAAAATTTTGCAGGTTATATTGTTGCTCTTGGCTGTTATTGCAGTCCCATGGATGCTTTTCCCAAAACCTTTTATTTTAAAGAGACAGCACACAGAGGTACTCTTTGTTTCTGTTTTTCGTCTGGCTGCTTTTCTTATCTTATGAAACCTGCAAGAGGGTGTAAGATATTTCATTTTGAAAGCTGGAGGCATTTGTACTTGATGCTTTTCAAACACAATTCCCATTCTATCACCTGACTTTCTACTGCTTAAGACTTCTTCTCCATTCATAATAATGTTGCACATTTAACTTTTTTATGTCCAAACTGGAGTAGCACCTACTTATATCTCAGAGTATTACATTATTTATGATTCATAGCCGTCCAGAATAGACACATGTGCATTACTCAACCCTTTCACCATCGGGCAATTTGACTGCCTTCCTTCAATGAAAAGCCTGGTTTGGAATTCTCTGCTAAGTTCTTCCTAGAGCTCGTCTTCTAGAAAAGGCAGCTTTTATGTTTTGTTTTAAAACTCAAGGTCCAATTACAGTGGGCCCTATATTTACTTCCTACAAGCATTTATCAGGTTGCTTCTTTTATTTTATTTTTTGGAATTGGTGGTGGCATATGCATGTTATATTGTCCTTACGAAATCAGATATATTGCCTGGGACTGCCTCTGCTTGTCCGCCAGCAGCTTCAGTCTATATTCAACAGCTATATAGGTTTTGGAGGCGTGAAACTCTTGAATTAGTGATTAACTTGCTCTTTTCTTGCGCATATCTAAGAGATTTCAAGGACAGACATATGGACTTCTTGGAACCTCTGACATGTATAATGATGAGGAGCCTGATTCCGCAAGACAACCACGCCATGAGGAATTCAATTTTAGTGAAGTTTTCGTGCATCAGATGATACATTCTATTGAGTTTGTATTAGGTGCAGTTTCTAATACTGCATCATATCTCCGGTTGTGGGCTTTGAGGTAGACCTGTCCTAGCATGCTTTTTCTCCATGTGACTAGTTTTTTCTTGGTTTCAACTCCTAATACTTTCCATGTCACTTATTACAGTTTGGCTCACTCGGAACTGTCCACTGTTTTCTATGAGAAGGTTCTCCTTCTTGCCTGGGGGTAAGTATCCGTAAAAGGTTATTTTAACTTTCATTGATTTGAATGTTATATTGTCTTGGGCGCATCTACAATATTCCATATGCATTTTCCTAATCTTGTAGTGCATTTATGTTGATTGAAAGTCTTCTCTAAATCTTGTCCTGTTTCTTCTGAGAAATCGAGTTGCCGTAAAATGGCCATAAAACGTAAGTTCTATGGAAATCTTGTGTAATAGTAGAGTTTGAGCGTCCTCGGTTGATGTTTCTGTATTCTCAGCAATTTTCCTTTCTGATATGGTGATTTGAACTGAATTGCGAAGGGTAAATGTAGAGCCTTGATACTATTCCTGTCCTCCCGAGAAGTGAATTCTAGTGAGCTATTTTAGCAGATAGAGGTTATGTTTGGTAAACCTAGGTGATAAGCTAGCTTATAGCTTTGAAGTGAATTTCGAGCTTATAGCTGTTAGCTTATGACTTATGGCTGAAAAGCTAACTTATATGATAGAACTCTTTGGTATTATTAGCCGATAAGCTAGCTGAAATAAAAAATTCAATAGGCTTATTTGAAAAGCTACCCAAGGAAGCTTATGAGATAAGCTCGAGCTTTTTAAAAAAACCTCATCCTACCAAACCGAATACATGAAGCTTATAAGCTAATCAAATAAGTTATAAGTTAACTTATATGCTTACCAAACACAGCCATAGCATGACACTTGAAGAGTGATGACTTTGAATTGTGGTCACCAGAGTAGTTGACTTGTTGAGACAAACAGTTCCATATTGAACATAAAATGAGAGGCGAATTTTAATTGTGGGTGTTAGTAAGTGGACATAGTTTACGGTTGACCCTTCTTTCATTGCTGGCTTATAATTGTGGTTGTCTCCAATGAAATTTCTCTTAAGTTAAAAGGATAGAATTTTTGTACATATCACTGTGAAATATGAATGAGTGAGTTCTGTACTGTACTCATAGGAGATTGACCCGTAATCGGGCAAATATTGATGCCTATTTTATTCCCCGCCAATTCAGGTATGACAATCTTATCATACGATTAGTGGGTCTGGGAGTTTTTGCTTTTGCAACAGCATTTATTCTACTTATGATGGAGACTCTCAGTGCATTTCTCCACGCTCTTCGTCTTCATTGGGTTGAATTTCAAAACAAGTTCTACAGTGGGGATGGATATAAGTTCAGGCCTTTCTCCTTTGCTGCGTTAATTGATGACGATGAATAGTATCTTTCCATGTCGATTTGATTTTTCTCCTTTTCTTGGAGAATTTTCGGAAGTAAATGCGAAAGAAGAAAAATTTTGCAGGCAATATGGGCTTTTGATCGTTCACATGATGATTCCAGTGAATTAGACTTGTAACTGTAAGTTACGACAGAAAATATTGTAACTATTTTTATCCGGAATCCTTTTTTTTTTCACTCGCGCAAAGAGGGTTTACGACTGAGGAGTTTAAACTTTAAAGGGAGGCCTGTTATACGTAGAATCCGTATTTTCTTCAGTTCTGGTGAACCTGATTTTTGACATTTCATACAGAAACTGCAAATGTATACCTTTAGGCTATCGTCTCAGTACACGATTTTTTTGTAATTATTAATCGAATTCCGACTGTCGTTTACATGATTTGAGATGGTTGATGAGCAGTGTAGCAATGATTGTTCATTGATTTTGAGTCTCTGGGTATTTCTTATCTTGGTAATCTATTATCCAGACTTCAATGTGGGGCCTAAATGTTGAATTAAGATGGGGAAGTTATTGTATTTTGTAATTAAAAATTACTCTTGGCCTCAAGAAAATGCCGTAAGTTAGTACTTACCGTGAACAAATGTTAACATTGATATTAAGCATACAAGGTATCAACATTTGTTCACGGTATTTGCACAAAGTACAACTTACGGTATTTTCTTGGTCCATTATTGGGACCTATCAAAAATTAATGCTGCCTCAAGTGGTTATTTGTCTTCCATGACTGAGCCATCAACATACTATTATATTTATATCTGAATACGATGTCGAATTGATGACCATCAAAACACGATTGATTTGGTTTATAATAGTACATAAATAATTTATTAAATTTAAAAATGTATTCATAATTTAATTTAATCAATTAGTTTATAATTTTAGAAACAAAACCTTCAAATCTAATGAACTAATTCGAAAAAAAGTTAAAAAAAAAAAAAAAAAAAATATTGTCGACCACAATAAAAAGCACGTATTACAGGAATACGTTTTTATTTAAAAACCGTATTCAGATAATACGTCTTCAATAATAAAACGTATTCATGTAATACGTTTCCCTAAAAAATAATTTGTTAACTTAAGTAACGTAATTAACTTAACTAAAACAAATTAAACCGTATTGGCAGAATACGTTTTATGCCGAAAAAAAATAAGAACGTATTAAGTGAATACGTTTTTAATTTAAAATTAGGTGTATATATATTTTTTATTATACAACGTATTAAGGAAATACGTTTTACAATCTAAAAAAATGAGAACGTATTACGTGAATACGTTTTTAATTTTTTTATTATACAACGTATTTACATAATACGTTTTATAAAAGAAAAATAATTTTTACAATTCCTAAAAATAATTTTTCTCGGGACAAAAATTTCGAAATGTAAACCGTATTTCGTAAATACGTTTTATATGTAATTTTACCCCAAATTGATTTTTGGTGCCCTAATTTTGCCTCAAAACCCTAAATATACCTGTTCACAACCAAATACACCTGTTCGATCAACTAATATCAACATATTCGCCCAATAATAATCCAACATATCATATAAACAAACAAATGAAACACAATAATTTGTCGAACAAACAATATATACAAAACGAAATATTCGGTTTATGCAAACAATCCAAAAATCCAAAATAAACACAATTCCACGAATTCAACACTACTAACTAGGAAGGAGTGAATGGTTTTGTAGGCTTGTGCGGTCTGGAAGTCCTCCGAGTATATACGATTTGAGCAGAAGACGAAGGTCGAGGTGTGAGAATTGTGTCAGTTTGAAAAGCTTGCTCAATTTCATCTTCTTCATCTGAATAGTTCAATTAATAAAAAGAAATCATAAATTGGATTGTAAAAAAAAGAAAAAAAAA